TCCATGTGGAATCTCTTAGCGGGTCTCCAATGTTTTGTTCTACAACAAAACATCCACATGTTCATTTAAGTGTCACCACACTTTAGCTCGTGAGATCAGCTGCTTACTTCATAAGTAAGAAATGCCACACGTGATGGTCTAACTGTATTAACGATATCCGTATCTCGTTATTACTTACGACCATGGTTTATTCAAGATCCAATTATATGTAATTTGTATCTCACAATCACAACTCCTTGTGATTAACAGATTACCTAAAAATTGGGTCTTCGGATTCTATTATTTAATATTATTTATTACAAAATTAATTTAAATAAATAATAGATCTCGCCAAAATCAAATGCATTAAATATATTAAAAGCGTTTACAACCTAAATCGATTGGATCTAGGGCATAACACTTACAGTTTTCATTCTATGTTTTGTAAATTTCAAGTTATAGGTGTTCATTACTAACTACTCTTGATCTGATCTCTTCTCTGGTGTGAAGGTTCCTGAATGCATTGACTAGCTTGCAAATGCTGGAATTAAGATTTGGATCATAACTGATGACAAGATGGAGACAGCAATAAATATTGGGTAATGGTGACATGCTTCATTATGGTTACATTTTCTTCTTCTTCTCTAAATGCTGCATTGGGGACAGTTCATTATGTGATCTGTAGTACAATGTATCATGTAGGTATGCTTGTAAATTGCTTAGAAACGACATGAAGCAAATTGTGGTTACCTTAGACTCTCCAGAAATAAATGACCTAGAAAAACTAGGAGACAAGGAAGCTATTGCGAAGGTACTGGATTCCTAAATTCTGGATTTATGATTTTCAATATTATATTAGATCTTTGATGGGTCAACAGTCTCAGGCTTCGAGTGTAAGCATATCAAAGCAAATAAGAGAAGGAAATTCACGGCTCAGTTTATCTAAAGGAAGTTCTATTTCCTTTGGTTTGATAATTGATGACAAATCATTATCGTTTGCTCTCAACATGCATTTGGAGGATTCATTTTTGGATCTTGCGATTAGTTGTTCATCTGTAATATGTTGTCGCTCCGCACCTAAACTGAAAGCTCTTGTATGTGCTAACATAAAGAAGGGAGCAGAAAATATTAGTGAGAAAGAGGAGGGTCAGTCTTGAGTGTCGAGTATTGTTTGTTCCATTCCATGTATATTTTTCATCATATTGAATACATTACAGAAAATTCCCAAAGTCTATCTTCTTCCGTTATTAGTTTCTAACTCCTTGTAATGGAGGGACAAATATCAACCCCTCATCCCATCAAAGTGATATCAGAGTACTGGATCCAACCTGCATAACCATGACACTCACTGATCGCGTAGGAGTTTTAGAGCAACAAATAGCAACTAATCACTCAACTCTACAATTCGGTATGGAAGCTCTACGGATTGATTTCCAGTAACTACAAACTGAATTAAAAGGAAAATTCGTGCTGATGTTTAGATCGTGGGAGGCTTAAGAAAGAGAGAGAAAAGAAAAGGGAGTGGTCAACCTACAATTACTAGAATCATCCTCAAATTTAAGGGATGCACAAGAATGTTCTGGAAGGAGCCAGAACAGTGGAAGGGGGTTCGACAATGGATGGAGGCCAGAATCGCGCATCCAGTGATTAGACATGCTGGTGTTTGATGGAAGTGACCTAGATGGGTAGATGTTCAGGGTGGAGTGATATTTTAATATAAATCAGACGACAGAGGAAGAAAAGTGGGATGCCGATTCCGTGTGTTTGGATGGAGATGCTCTGGCGTGGTATCACTGGGAGGAATGCTAGCGACCCATGAAAAATTGAGAGGAATTGAAGGGTCGCTTAGTGCGCTGTTTTCATCCAACGCAAGAAGGCTCATTCTATGCCCAGTTTTTAGCTCTCCGACAAAATACAACCGTCAAGGAATACCGCCGGCACTTTGAAAAATTAGCATCACCATTATAGAACATTTTGGAGGAGGTATTGGAATGTAGCTTCATCAATGGTCTAAATCCCAGAGTCAACGCTAAGGTCCAACTATTAACCCCCAGCGGCCCTGGAGTAAATTATGGATTTAGTCCAACGTGTAGAGGAAAGGGATTATGTGGTTCAACAAGGCCCAAGTAGTTTTACCCTAACAAAATTAAAAAGGGCCCCTATTAAGTTTAAATGTCCAGACATCCTAGGTTTCTCCACCTTTCTAAAGGCAGACAAACTATTGGAAATCATCCCCAGTTGTGCCATTCTTCCACCAAAACTCAATTCTCCTTTCAAACGATTGACTTATGCAAAAATCCAAACGAAAAAGGAAAAGGGTTTGTAATGTAAGATAATAACAAGAGAAAATTCAAAACCAATCAAAAAAGGAAACAAATAAGATAAACATTATTTCTTACTAGGAAACTTGTGTTTAACTCTATTTTTTTCTGGTTGTGTTTATCTTTTATATATATAGTTGTGATAGGACTTTTATCTTTTATTTAATTAGGATTATTATTTTTTAATTAATTAGAATACGAGCTTTAACTAGATTAGATTTTATTAGTTTCCTTCTTTCAGTTTCCTAGTATTAGTAGAAATAAGTAATAATCTTGCCTATAAATATAGATGTTTTATACAATTTTCAGAATTCATATTTCATTATTTGATTCTTGATTAATAAAATATTTTAGTTTTCCCATTTATTGGTGGATTCCAAATAATTATCACGTTCGTTTGAGCGAAATATTATGCAAACACCCATTTGTGTTTGTGCATTATGAAGTAAACATTTTTATTATTATCCATGTTTCTGTATTGTGTCATGTACCAATTTATGCAGGGTGTTGGAAACAATGGACATAATCAACAATAGACAATCAACAATGAAAAAATCGCTAAGCCTGTAGTTCGAAGAGAAAATAATAGGAGGTGTGTGTCAAATATACTCAATAAGACTTAATGCCTCTTAATGTGATGTTCTCTCATCAAATAGAACCAAATTAAACTAAATATGGTAACAGCAATCTATCTATATATGGTACTGTAACGAATCCTTTTGTCATCTAAGGAGGAGTGGCAAAGTCATTGCATCTTCCGTTTGCTTTGTTTTATCAAGAATAAAGCGTGTGAAGTGATTGTGGACAACGGAAATTGAGAGAACTTTGTATCGAAGAGGTTGGTGCCCATGGAGAACCACCATATTCATTTGTTGGGTGAAGAGAAGTCCTTCCGTTCAAGTTACTGAAACTTGCAAAGTATCCATTTCCATTGATAAACATTATAAGGATAAAATTATGTGTGATGTCATAGACATGTATGCTTGCCATATACTATTGGGTCATCCATGGTAGTTTGATATGGATTCAACTCTTAAAGGGTGTGATAATGTGATATTCCTTTTATGGGGCAGTCATAAGATCACTATGGCTCCTCTCAAATAGGAGGAGAAATCTATTTAACAACGAACTGAGAGTTTTCTTGCCCTTACAAGTAATGAGAAGGAGGTTGCAGACTCTGGAAGAGAGTCTGATTGTTTTTATCTGGTTGTAGTTAAGGGGCTTTTTATAGCAATGAAGACGAGGATGTTCCATCTGAGGTGCAAGAAATATTAACAGAGTCTGAAGATTTGGTTTTCGACGAATTTTCGAATGAGTTGCCTCCTATGAGGAATATTCAGCACCGAATCGATTTGGTACCTAGGGCTAGCCTTCTAACTTTGCCACATTATCGAATAAATCCGAAGGAGAATAAAGGTTCGTCCATTCAAGAGACTGAAATTTGTAAGGTCCCTTTTTCAATTGGGGTTTTAGACAAATCAAAAATTGTTTGTGATCTTTTTCAATTGGATGAGTTTCATATTCTACTGGATAGATCATGGTAAATTAATGTGAATGATATATATACGGGTAGAGAGAATACCTACAAGTTTAAGTGGAAGAATAAATAGATTACAACAAGAAGGACACATAAAGCTTCTAAAGTGGAAGGGAAATTTTTTTTGACCATTACAAATTCAAACGATGAGTTTTCATTCGATAAGCCTTTGTATCCTGATAACAACTCGGGTCGAGTTATTTTGAAGTGGAATGGAATAATGTGGGACAATACTAAGATAAAATCCAAAACCAATTAAGAAAAGGAAATAAATAAGATAAACATTATTTCTTACTAGGAAACTTGTGTTTAACTTTATCTTTTCTAGTTGTGTTTATCTTTTATATGTATAGTTGTGACAGGATTTTTATCATTTATTTAATTAGGACTAGAATTTCTTTATTGTTTAGAATAGGAGTTTTAATTAGATTTGGTTTCATTAGTTTCCTTATTTCAATTTCCTAGCATTAGTAGAAATAGATAATAATATTGCCTATAAACGTAGATGCTTCGTACACTTTGCAAAATTCAAATTTCATTATTCAATTCTTGTTTAATGAAACATTTTAGTTTCAATATTTATTTGGTGGATTCCAAATAATGATCACCTCCGTTCAAGTGAAATTCGAGCACACTTGTTCGTATGTTATGAACTAGACACTTTTATTATTATCCACGTTTTCGTCCTGTGTCAGTTTGTGTTATAAATGAAATGAGAAGTTTGTGATTGGCCACCTATGTAATAATAGGGAACTCCAAGTCATGGTTATTAGGGAAAATGAAGAGGAGGATCTAGGAGGCGAAGAAAGGCTAGAATGCTTGGAGGACCTGGCTAAGGAGTACATAGGTGACCTCAGCGAGCAACTGGAAAGCACCGACGATGATGCAGGGGAGCATTAGTGCCTTTGTTGAGCTATCTCTTAATTCAATGGTGGGCCTCATTGTTCCATAAACCATGAAATTGAAGGGTTCGATTGGATTGAAAGAGGTCATAGTACTAATTGATTGTTGGGCTTCACATAATTTCATTTCTGATAAGGTTCAGTAACTAGGTCTACATTTATCTAGCACAACTGGGTACGATGTTATCATAGGAATTGGGTTCACGGTAAAAAGGGAAGGAGTTTACAGAGGCGTGAAGTTGCAACTGCAGAATGTGACGGTGGAAGATGATATCTTGCTATTAGAGTTAGCAAGTTTTGATGTTATTCTAGGTATGCAGTAGTTGCACAAACTAGGGAAAATACGCATTAATTGGCTGACCCTCACAATGAATTTTACGGTGGTGGACGTGAAGGTGACATTGAAGGTAGATTCGAGTTTGAGCAAGGCATCTATATTGCTAAGGTCAATGTACTTTAAGTCATGGGGAGAAGAGGCACTTCTGGAGTTGGAAAATATTATAGTTCAAATTGAGAAAGTTTGCCAAAGAACTCTAGAAATAATTTCGAAGGTGCTGACGGATTTTGCATCCGTCTTTGAGACGCCCAAGAGTCTTCTCCCTTTGAGGGGCCATAACCATGCTATTAATTTACATCCAAGTTCGGCCCTCGTCAGCCCACACTTTCAAAAGAGCAAGATTGAATGTTTGGTCCGAGAAACATTAGCAACAGGTTGATACAACAAAGAATTAGTCCTTTTTCAAGCTCGGTATTATTAGTAAAGAAGAAAGATGGAGGTTGGACGTTTTGTGTCGACTATCGAGCTTTGAATAAAGTTACCGTTCCTAACAAGTTTCCAATCCCAGTAATTGATGAGATGCTCAATAAGCTTTATGGCTCTACCCTCTTTTCGAAGATAGACCTGAAGTCGAGTTATTATCGAATAAAGTGAGGCCTAATGACGTGCCAAAGATAGCCTTTCGAAATCTCGAGGGGGGCATTATGAGTTCCTTGTCATGCCCTTCAGGTTAACGAATGCCCCAGCAACGTCCCAGTCTCTCATGAATGAGATTTTTAGAAATCATCTCCGAAAATTTGTTTTGGTGTTTTTTGACGATATTTTAGTATTAATCCGCACCATCGATGAGCATCGGGATCATCTACATATTGTGTTGCACGTGTTGATTGACAATCGGTTGTATGCTAATGAAAAGAACTGTCTGTTTGGACAAATGGAATTAGAGTATCTGGGGCATATTATCTTGGGAAAGGGGTGGTGGCAGACGAAACAAAGGTTGCAACCATGAGAGATTAGCCCAGATCAAAATCATTAGGGAGCTATGAGGATTTTTGGGACTAACGGGATATTATTGTCGATTCGTGAAGTCATATGGGAACATAGCATGGTCATTGACACA